TGGGAGATATTTAAAATTTATATTTATTTTTTTGTTATTTGACTTATTTTTATTTATACACGAACAAGGAAGTTCTCATTAAAGTACCAACGATTGAATACCCTTGCAAATGTTTAAATTTTGTCCTTATTCCTCTGAAGTTTCTTAAGTTTCCTTAAGATATATCGAAAAACTAAACACATTTCAGACAAATGCTCAGTTTGAGATTGTTTTAAGGGCAGCAGCTTTAAATAGACCAAGAATAATGCTGCCAGACTTAGCTGCCAAATAGATCTAGGTCCAAATCATGAACAAAGACCCAAACATTATGGAAATCTGATATGGAAATCGTGATTTGAGGGTGGGAAATGTTGTGCGTTTACAATAATGTATGTATGTATGTGTGTGTAAATGTGTGTGTATATGTGTGTGGGTGTGTGCTTGTATGTATGTGCGTATATATGCATGTATGTATGCATGTATGAATGCATGTAAATTGTCTTCTATATCAGTAGCAGACCAATTTGTCTTGTTGCGCGGCAAATTGATATAAGAAAACATTTTTATTAAAGCTGCCCTCCTCCTCGATTCTCAAAAATTTAAGTAAGGCTTGCCGGCTTCACCTATGAATTAGGCGCAGGCGGTTTCAACGCTGGAATGTGAGGAGCCGGAGGAGCATGGCGGCGGAGGAGCACCAAGGGGGCGGAGCTGGAGGCGTATGTTTGTAGGTATGAATGTAGGTATGTATGTAGGTATGTATGTAGGTATGTAGGTTTGTAGGTATGTATGAATGTATGTATGAATGTATGTATGTATGTATGTATGTATGTATGTATGTATGTATGTATGTATGTATGTATGTATGTATGTATGTATGTGTGTATGTATGTATGTATGTATGTATGTATGTATGTATGTATGTGTGTATGTATGTATGTATGTATGTGTGTATGTATGTATGTATGTATGTATGTATGTATGTATGTATGTGTGTGTGTGTGTGTGTATGTATGTATGTATGTATGTATGTATGTACATATATTAGTATTAATATCTGTACATATGTATTTGTGTGTATGCTCGCATTTCCACATGAATTTTGACTAAGAATAATGCTGCCAGGCCTTGCCCGTGGCAAGTTTAAAATTTGAAAATGAGTTTAAGGCCGATCGGATGTTAAACAAAAAAGTTTCATCCAAACGTTTTTTGTAATTTTCCCACACATACAAACTCACGAATCAAAGATCTTAGTTTGCACAGTGAATCGAACGACAAGTAAGTTTTATTATGGTTGCAGCCCTGCTAAAAATGTTAACATATAGTAATATCAATAACACGCTTACTTGTTGTTACGCCATTGTACTTTATATCCTTCATAATTTCACTTTTACACTCTCTCTCTCTCTCGCTGTCACCCGTTTTCCGTATGTGAATGCAGCTAAAATGCGCGCCAATTTGTTGTTGGTAAAAAAGCTTTGCAACGAAAATTTAATGCATTTTAAATTTTACCAAATGCACGAAAAACGTTTGAATTACTGATATAAAACACATTACAAACAAAACAAAAAACACATACACAGCTGCTATTTAATTATCATTCACAAAACATATAACACTTTTATACACACTCACGAGAATACGACCACTAACCAAACAACAAAATACTAAGCCAGCCTTTGCACTAATACAATAACAAAGCGTTTCCGCTCTCTAGCTCGCAATCAAAAGCAATGCCAAAAGCTATGCCGCGGCAATAGTAAAGCAAAGAAATCATTTTCCTATCTCTCTCTCTCTCTCCCTCTCTCTCTGTATGTGAATGCAGCTTAAGTGCGCGCCAATTTATTGCTGGTGAAAAAACTCTGCACCAAAAATTACATGCATATGTATTAACTTTTACCAAATGCACGGAAAATGGTTGAATTACTGATTTAAACACATTAACAAACAAAACATAAAAAGCACACACAAACGAACAAGCTAGAGGCGATTAACAGCCGCTAGCTAATTATGATTCGCAAAAAATAAAACAATCTTAGAAACACTCACGAGAATTCGACCGATCAACAAGCCAGATGCGCACAAACTGAATTTGCATACACATACATACACAGAGCGCGCGCCTTCGCTAAGCCAGCGTTTGCACTAATACAATAACAAAGCTGCGCTCACACAATACTCGCTTCTTGAACTCGCAAATAACGGAATAAAAAGCCCTCCCATCCAGCAACAATAGCTCTTACGGCTTGGGCGGGGCGTCAGTCAGTCAGAGATATCGAATATTGTTTGAGGTTTGATTATAGCCAATATATAACAAATTGAATTCTTTTGGTTTAGGATTATTAGAAAAAATCTAATATTTATTTAATTACTTTTGCATTGAGTATAAATATATACGCTCTTAATAATATAATGTTAAATAAATGTAAGGTACATGATAAATGCATATGATATAAATATCTCTATGACTAATTCTAAATGCAGCAGTATTTTCTAAATTGAAGCTTGTGATGTTTATTGAACCATCGCTCGGCCAGAATAACCTGTGTTGAACCCGGAGGTGAACTGATGTCTTCTTTGTTTTTTGTCGGTTTGCAAGCGTAATGCTATCATACAGCTCTGTGGAGAGATGCGAGAGGAGGGGGAATTATTATAAAGTTATCTAACAACTATGCCATTTCTAATTGCACTTACAATCGAGCAGCAGAACGTGATCATTAATACAAAAAACGAGCTAATGAGCAGGGCGCCACGGCACTGTTGCGTCAGATCGATTAGGAAGCCAACCTTTTTATCAACCTGTCCAGGCATTATAACGGTGTACTCGATGTTCTCTTTAAATCGCTTGAACTCAGAGACAGAAGATGTGTTATTCCCAGTGGCTGCTGGTCGTTGCATCATTGGAGTTGTGGTTGTAGATTCTATTTGTCGCCGCCTCCGACCATGACCCGAGGGCTCGTACAAATCCACACAGAAATCAGGTGTACAATCAGACATATCTATGCAGGCCTTGATCTGGGAGTGTATCCACAGTGTGGCCTTCTCCTTCATTGAGCTGAGCAGAAATGCCTCGAAGTCGAGGAAAACCTCATTGGGCCTGTCCCGATACTTGGCCGGCTGATGTGGTATTATGGTAGCCAATTCCCGATTACGACAGCCATTGTGTACCAAAGACACAGCGCCAGTTGCCAGTGGATTTTCTAAGCAGCAAAGTAATATTGTGCATTATAATACTTATGTTACATAAAGCTAATGTACTTCAGCATTTACCTGGATCTGGCGAGACAGTTACCTCCATCAGCTTGACATACTTCCAAACCGACTGGCTGATGCGTGCGCGCAATTGGAGCTTGGTGCCCAGAGGAACCGCCTGGTCCACTGTCTGATCATTGTCGGCCAGAAGTGGAGATGGATCATTCGATGAGCTAACTGGATTATTGGTGCCGCTGACACGTGCTATGGGTGGCGCCTCCTTGTAAAGTGCCACCTCGTATTCCAATCTGTTCGGCATCTCCTCAACTATGCCCGAGACACGAGCTCCATGGGGACTGCAAGGAAATATTATTTTAGTCGTGCTATAACTTTAACCTACATTGTTACACTGACAATGAACCAGCGAATCCCGCAGCCTTATTTTCTATAACTGTTGGCTCCGGCGGCTTGCACATGATGATTAACTCCTGATCCGACTGCATAACCACGCCGGGGAATTGTGGGAACCAAATGCGCACATGAACAAATCCCTAAGAAATCATAAATAAACGTCAATATTATTTTTATGAAGAGAACTACATACATTTCTTTTAAGTACGCCACAACGCGTAAAATCGTTTATTCTCAGATTATATGTCCGTTCATCCATGTCGCTGATGTCCTTCGAGATTAGGCAATGTGGATTTAGATCCTTGAGTCCACTTCGATCATCTGCAAACATGGGCACGCCCTTAAAACCAACTGGTCTTTTGAGTGTTGCAGTGATCAGATCTTCGGCCTCCGACCCGGTCGTAGAAAATGTGCATTGCACATCGGCGACTGATAAATTAGGAATTAAATAGATGCTTTGATTTTATGTGTTATTTGTTCTTACCTTCATAATCTTGCGCAATACAAAAACAGGGAAGAACCTATTAAATAAAAGTGTTGGAATGGTTATTCAAGCAGGTAAATACGTTAATGTCGGCTGTATCTGACTCCTGAATTCTCTGTTGAAAGCGAACGTGAATATATTTATATATATTCATCCGACTTTTAAGGCGGTGTTTCTAATGATTTTGAGGTTTCTTCTCTAAGTTTTTAAACCCAATAAGAGACATGCAACATTGTATATACCCTCTTTTCACTTTGTAAACAGAGTATAAAATTAGATCCGAAATACGTTATTGGGCATTGAATTATTTATGCACATTCGTATGTACTTACGAATAAAATATATATTTTGATGCAATGCATTGTTGATATATAGCTGATTGCCAAATATTATTGCATTTATTAAAGTGTGCAATACACGAAAACTGGACACAAGCGAATATTCAAAGCCCGCTTCAAAGCACTTCCAATCGGTTTGAAAGCAAATTGCAGAATGAAACTGGAGTAGACGATGGGTAGATGCAATTACCTTGATCTTGGCTGCGTGAATTCTAGTTCAATACAATTGCAAACATTTACGTTGATATGCATGTGTGTAACTCCACATGCAGCAGCAATAAAAAACTTCAAGTAAATGTGGCGCGCTTCTGCCAACCTCATATGTGAGTGTGCATATTGCACACAGTGCTGGCAAAAATATTAGCACCGCCTTAAAACATTGTCAGCGCTAAAGGTCTGCTAGAAAACGAATTACACATAAAAGCAATTCTATATAATCATATTATTGTAATACGTAAACGTGCACAAAATCATTTATTTATTTTATCTTTAATTATTTAGCCGATTTCTATAATCGATATTAACAACTGTCAACTGCTATCGCTGTAATATCGATAGTAGCTATCGATAGCGATAGTAGTGAAATTATTTGTATTGTTATAGGTCGCATCACATACGTATGTCATTTTGTTTCGTTTTTTTTTTCCTTCTGCTTACGAAAGACTTTCAACCTAGCAGACCGTATTGTTTGGAAATTGTTTGTTTAAGCTATGATTTTTACTGCCTAGGGAGCGACACATCTCGGCCTCATAAAAACAGCTGTTTTGCGGACATTTTGCGATTCAGTTTGATAAGAACAACCAACACCAGCGGCCATCATGTTGAAGAACGCCGGCAGTCGATTGTTTCGTGGTTTGCACGTAAGTCTAATGGTCTACAGAGCCAATGACAGCTGATATATATGTATATAATTTTTGTGGACTCGGCATTTTAGGCGGCATGCAGCACACAGGCGCCCCATGTGAGGGGCATTAATTTAATACCCATGGTAGTAGAGCAAACGGGACGTGGAGAACGCGCCTATGATATATTCTCTCGCCTTTTGAAAGAGCGAATCATTTGCCTAATGGGCAACATCACGGACGACATCAGTTCCACGGTGGTTGCTCAGCTATTGTTCCTGCAGTCGGAAAACGTAAATAAGCCCATCCATTTGTATATCAATTCGCCCGGTGGCGTGGTAACGGCTGGCCTTGCTATCTATGATACGATGCAATATGTTAAGCCACCAATAGCGACGTGGTGCGTTGGCCAAGCTTGCTCGATGGGCTCGCTACTGTTGGCAGCGGGAGCACCCGGTATGCGTTACTCGTTACCAAATGCTCGTATTATGATACACCAACCATCGGGAGGTGCCCAGGGTCAGGCCACAGATATACTAATACACGCGGAGGAGATCATCAAGATAAAGCGTCAACTTACCAATATATATGTTAAGCATGCAAAAAATAACTATGATGAGATGTGCGCACGTATGGAACGTGACCATTTCATGACCCCGGAAGAGGCCAAGACCCTAGGCATAATTGATCATGTGCTTGAGCATCCACCAGAAACAGTTGCAGACAATGGACCAACATCCGATGGCGGCCCAGCAACAGGCAAGCTCATCTCGTCTGATGCAACAGAAAAGAAGAGATCCAAACAGTCAAGCTAATTCATTGCATTTGTACGATTAGCGAGATATCTGGCTTTAAAATTATAAATTGTAAAATAGGAAGGATACACACAATTACCATAATTCAAATTTTTTAAATACAAATTCAGTTTTCATGAAAAACTTTATTTAAATGCTAATTAATTTCACACTGCGTCCATGCCAAACACATCTGCTGCCCTGTGCCATCGTGCCATATATTCGGATTTGTTTGGATGTTTGGCATGTGAGCAGTATTACAAATCGATTTTATTGCTTAGTTAAAAAAACTAATGGCTGTATCAGATAGACGATACGTTTGTGTTCACACATTCTTATTACATTATTATTAATAAAATTAAAATTCATAGAACAGCGCTATTTAACACAACTTAAGTCTGGTCCATGGCAACATCTGAATTGCCGGTAATGGAATCCTTCTGCACATAATCATAAATTTTACACAGTTCCGGTGTTTCTTTAATTGACTTTAAAAAGTCTAGTAACTGCTGATTTTTATCTACAAGCAACATAATTTAATTTTAGTCATATATATATATATATGAGTAAAACGTAAACACATTTTATTAGAGACTCACTTGCTTTGGGTATTTGCGAGAGAGCAGATACGGCTCGCAGGGCAGAACGTTTAAGTTCGTCTTGTTTCTCGTACTCCTGCTTAACCGAGTTGGCCTTTACCTTGTGGGTGCATGTGTCGCGTAGTTGTTGAACGAATTGATCCAGTCCTATTTATAGAAATCATATTAGAAAAATAATGATGGACAAAATGGTATTTAACACATACGCAGTAAAACCTTATCGGGACACAATACAGCCAGACGTGCTGTCATTAGGTACGTCAGCATTTTAATGTCATAATGATCACATAGGCCAGCCTGAACGTGATCCATAAACTGCATAACGTCTACACGGTCCAGACCCTGCTCAAGTAGTGTATACATGCATTCGAATGCCGCTTTTCGTATATCAAGTCCATCATCGACCGTGTGTTTAAATGGTCCCATTTCAACTTCACGTATAAGCTCACTTTTCACTTTTGTCTCGGAATATAGCCACGGTAAAAGTGTGGGCAGCAAGTCGCGCACCAAACTAGGTTTATTGTGCACAGCCGAATTAAATGCGACCAGAGCAACGCGACGCACCTGCGGCTCCGGATCACGCAGCGCGAATAAAAATTCACCGATGCTTTGCTTCAGCAGCAAATCAATGGGCTGCGGCTGATCGGAGATGGTAAATTTAACGGAGGACACAACAACGGTCCGCATCGTCGCGCTTTCAGAGCGCAGGGCTTGCTGCAATTGCGGCAACAGTTCTTCCGGATTGACGAGCACCAGTTTGCCCAGGCATTCCGCCACCACGTTGCGTGAACCTTCTTCCGAGCACTCGCAGTGCTTAAACAGTTGGGCCCATATCGAAGGCACCGATGGCAACAGCTGTGCCAGACCATTGGGCGTGACCGATAGCGATGAAATAACTTCCTTCAGTGAATGGAGCAGCAAATATTCTCGCTTGGGCTGTGCCTCAATTTCCTTCAAAATGAGCGGCAAATATGTCTGCAAACTCCCCACTGAGACAGCGCCGAGGGCATGCGAGGCCGCTGCCTTCACATCCTCGGACGTGGCACCAAAGCATTCAATGATTGTCTGCGGAAGCACTTGAATAGAGCTTAGATCAAAATGTCTGCCTATTTCGCCAATGGTTAGCAAGCAGAAGATTATCTGCGTATCCTTTTTGCCACGATTCTGCAGCTCGGCCATCAGATGAGCGGCTAATTCGGTCGCCACCTGTGGACACTGCTGGGTCAAAGCCGCAATGCATTTGGCCGACGAATGATATGCTTGCTTGTGCAGCTGCAGCTGTTCGTTTGGATTCCTTGCTGCCGGATCGCTGCCTTTCAAAACTGGCTCCATTAGCTTCGACACCAGAGAGTCATAGGTTAAGCCGGGCAGTTGCGCCTGTACCAGCGCCTGAAATAGGTCCAAAGTGCATTGCAAAGCGGTACCCTGAAAAAAAAATCACTTTTATTTAAATATCAATTAAAATCGAAATTAATTTTGGGCCCACCTGCAACAACGGCGACCGAACCAAAATTAACACAGATGGCAAAAACTTCTCATGTATGCCAACCAATGCCTGGGGCTGACGACGAGCTGTTGTACTTAGTAGGGTCAGCGAGTATTGAGCCACATGAAGATCGGAGTCAGAAATAAGTCCAGGTATTTCGATAATAGCCGACTGCAAGACACTTGGCTCAAAGTTCGAGGAATAGTTGATGACAATCTTATTGATCAGATCCAAAGAATGCAGCTTCAAAGCACGATGATTTTTGCGCAAGAATGTGCCCAGAGTTGGTAGAACGTCATGCAATATGGGCGAGAGGTCAATGCGTAAAGGTGATGCTGCAATCATGGTCAGTGCTTTAACGCTACTTAGGCGCGTGACTTCGTTTTTCAAGCGTTCCATAAAGATGGGCAGACAAACGTCCAGTTCACTCTTGAGCAGATCACCCATATTGGCAATGATTTGGCCCATGCAGGCAATGGCGCGTTCCTTCACCTCCTGATCGACATCGGTGACCTTTAGTTTCTGCAAGGTGCACGCATAAACCTGACCGACAAACGGCGTCACATCGAAGTCTGATTTGACAGCATTAACGCCCAACGGACGCACCACCTTGACGAGTTGCTGCAGCACCAACAATGCCTCGGTGGCAATCTTGTAAAACGGATCAAACACCGATGTCACCACCAGCGGCACCAAAAGCGGTATATGCGGATGGAAAACATGTGGCTGATGACCCTGAAGCAATGAGCAAAGAAAGCCGAGTGACTCAATTTTCATGTTGCTCGTCGAACTCTTGTCGTTCAGCGAATAGCTTATGCCGGGCACAATGCTTTCCAAATGTGGGCCCAGGGCGCCTGGTAGAGAGTTCAGAAGTTCGCGTAACAAAAGGAAACAGTCCTGACGCGTCTTCATCGATTTTTCACGCATCAGCGGCTGTATGGCTTTAATAATCTGCGGCAGCTGTTCAATTAGCAAAAGGGTTGGCCCAGATATTTGATCCATGGAGTCGGGATCGTGTGCAATATCATCTGCCGGACGTGTATTCTTCAGCAGTGCAACATATGCATGGAAAATGTCAGATTTAACATTCTCTTCGCGCTCCTTAAAGCGTGCTATTAATGCTGGACTCAGCGTACGATAGAATTCTTCAATTAATTCCTGACGAGTGGCAATTAACACCTCCAGGCATTTGGCAGCAGCACGTCGAACTTTCCAGCTCATATCGTCGTCATCACTATACTCTTCGCTGTCCACATATTCATCCTCCTCGGTGTCCATGGCAACGCCTGTATCGCCATCATCGGCCTCATAATTGTAGTTCGGATCATAAGTTACGTACTTGAGGCATAGTTCGAGTATCTAATTAGTATAACAATTGTTGGTTAAGGATTAAGATTAAGATTAACAACAAGTTGGTAGCCAACAGTAATAGCATATACATACCATAGGAATGTGTGGATGGATAGCGTCTGGGCAACGCAACACAAATGCCTCGCAGGCCTGCAGGCAGAATTCGCGCAGCTCATCATCATCACGCTGGCTATATTGTTTGAGCAGCAGCATTGAGCGATCAATGTGATTGCAGAGCCGATGTCCAGCTTGACGACTAGTTAAACAGAAAATAGAAATATTGAAGACAATGCGCCAATATCTATGCATAATTCAAGTACCAGATAGAAGCTAAGCATTGAATATAGGTACGCACAGCACCAGGATTCTGCGGATTTTCGAGTCCCTCGAGCAGGTGGTCAACGACGCCATTATAGGCATTGCTATTCGCCTGTATCAGAAGTACAGAGAGCGCTACAATCGTACGCTTGCGTACAGCCTGGCGAGGCGATGCCAACTGCGGCATCAGAGCTTTCAATATAGTGCTATGGAATGGGACCAGAAACTCGCCAAAGCGCGACAGCAGATCCGACAGTATGTCCAGTGATTCCAATTTAACCGAAACGTCCTCCTACAAATATTAATTCAATATCACTTTAAGATCGCTCATTTTAGGTGTTAGTCTCTTTGGCTTGCACCTTTTCAATGGCAATGCTTAGTTTGCCAGTTATACGCTGGCAGACATTGGGCGCCAACGAGTTGGAAGATTGGGGCAGCTCGGCAATTACGGTCTTGAGGCCGATGCTTGAGATGTCACGCAGCTGCTCGACATTGGACATCATGTTGCCACATAGCGAGTCCACAATTGTCTCCACTTGATTCTCCTTCACTTTATTGACTAACGGGCCCAAGCACTTCACAGCCAAATTCTGCACTTCACCGTTTTTGTCCTCAAGCAATTTAAGGACCATGCGAACCACCTTTTTTTCAGACTCATCGTCCAGTATAATGCTGTCCTTTTGCAGTTCAGTCATTAAATCATTTGTGGCCATGAATCGAAAGTCCTTGTCCGTGGATGTCATCTAAATAAAAGTAAATAATTCAATTTATAAATGCACCTTACCTTACACTTTTGTGCATATTCTCTACATACTTTTTCCAGCAAATTTGCGATTTGATGATATTGATGCGACGCCATGATCTATATATTTGGTTCAACGGTATGTATATAAATATATATGAAATTATGTACACGGTAGCCGATTATAAATTTTTGTGACCGCCTCACAAATTCTTTTTGTCTTAGACAAAAAAAAGGTCTACTCAATTTTTTTTTTCCGGCACAAAAATTTGCGTGTTGGAACTGGAAAATGCATAAGTAAAATGATAATATCGATATGAGACAGTTTCGTGTGCGATAGAATTATGTGCTATCGGCAATCTCTATAAACATTCGATAACAATGTTATCGAAACGAAATACTAACAGATCTGTTACCTAACAGCGCTAGTAAATGTAAACAGTCGCGATTTTTTAAGTGGTAGCGCGGCACAGAAAAACTTTATTGCAACATCGCAGTACAGATATATAAATAAACGTTGTTAATTCATAGTTTTAAGGAATCAAACTAAATATCAAACATTTTATATTTACACATAAAACCGTTCATAATATTTCCCAGCCAGAAGCCTTTATGAAATAGTAATCATAAGTTGAATAGTCAATTCGCTTCACAAAAACTAAATTAACATTTTTTTTTTAAAGAGAAACCTCGATATGCTCAACATTTTCTGCCAATTCAACTGCAGATTTATCGGCTTCCACAACTTGACCAACAATAAAAGCCTTCTGTGCTCCATTCGTTACTTTCTCAAACTCCTCGCAAAACTGTTCAGCTGCATTTCTTGGCAGGCAAATGAGAAGTCCGCCAGATGTCTCAACGGCTTTGCCTGCCGTTAACTTTGTGCTTTGTCCGACTAATTCGCCAAATTTAAGAACATTTTTAATAATGGGCAATTTGTTAATTTGAAACAAAAGCGGCTGCTTCTGGAATTCAACAAGGTTCTTGGCATGTCCCAGCAAACCAAAGCCGGTGACATCAGTTGCAGCATGCGCCTCGTATTTGTGCATAAGAAGTGCGGCTAAAAAATGAATTCAATTAACTTATTTTATCATTGATAAATCAACCGAATCATACCATTTCGGTTGAGGTATGTCATCGATTTTATGGCCATTTGAAATGTTTCCAATATGTCGTCGTCCGTAAAAGCAGCTAGCAGCCTTTCATATTTATCATCTTTCTCCTTCTGCCAAATGTGTGCAGCTGTCGCCAGCTGTGTTCCAAGCGGCTTGGTTAGCACCAATACATCTCCGGCCTTGCCATTTGAAGGTCTGAAGTTATTTAAGAATTCGTTAAATGTGCATTACATATTCTCTTGAAGAAACTACAACTTACAGTATGATGTCTTGTTTTCGACAAAGTGTTGTAGCTATGCCTCCCACAATGCACCAGGGATTGAGGATAACATTTTTGACGCTGACATTGCCACAACACCCGCTGCCACTTGTTGCCCTTTGGAAACCTTTCATTATTAATGGAACCACAATATCTCGCTGCTTCTCTGTCATGTTTGAGGGTGCACTAATGAGCATTTCGATTTTGTCAATGTCCGTTATTCCGACAGCGTATATGTCACTTAATACATTGGCCAGGGCAATGCGACCCATTGTTTCGGGGTCGTCAACCAGAGGATAAAAGAAATCAACCGTCTGTACTAGCGAATATTCCTTGTGCCGTGCTAAGGGTATAACCGCGCAATCCATTCCAGATCCTATATATTTCAAAATATTTTTTAATTCATTTTAATATTTACGCTTATTTATGTGCCGAGTTCAAGGTGTATTCGGATTGCAAAGGTCATATTTTTGCTAATCTCTTGTGTGCTTGTTTACATTTCTTAGCCTTCGAACATTTTGATAAGCAACACATAAATATAAAATTGTTATCTAGTAGTTTTCAGTGAGTGTTTAATATATATTTTATTTTTTAACACATATTAAGCTTACCAATAAAGTCGTCATCGTGTTGAGGTGCATTGTTAACTATTTCTGTTCCCCTGAGATATTGTTTAAGCTTCTCTTCGGGGACTTTGCAGCCTCACCCTCGAAGGGTGGAGAACATGGTTAGTCTAAAGTCGGCCTCTAGGCCATGATCTTCAGGTTGAAACATCGTCAAAATCCGCGCTAAAGATATAGCACATAAAATTATAACTATTTTCTCTTACACACAGCTGTTCAGTTGCGTGGGAAAAATAAATCGAACTACTCTGAGCAAGTGAACTAGTTCCTGCAGCTTTTATTTCAAATAGTATCCGATAGGTTTCACGATAATATAATATCGATTACTCGAAATGACCGTTGTTAAAGTTGAAATTAAAAAATGCCGAAAATGTAAAAACATATTTGACATTAAAGCGTAATTTCATATTATTATACCAAATTTATAGGTTTTTTTTATTTACAACCAATTACACAAGCCCCATATACTCCTACGCCAGAACAAAAGTATCACGCATTTGTCCATTTTTTGCGCTTTTATCTTGTTTATTTTCTCAAGCGAACAAAAAAAAACCACCCAAAACACCCTTAACAGGAAAAAGCGAAGGGCGATAAAGGACACTGACATTGTCGGCAAACAAAGTTTAATAAACGTTCCCCAATTAAATACTTTCCATGCACAACTTTTAAAACAATGAAAATAGACACGCCCATAAAACGAATATAAAATATATTTTATATACAATTGTTGGTCTTTAAAGTTTCTTTTTTATTTTTTTTTTTAACATTGACAAAAGTCGATAAAATTTGAACCAAAAATAAAATGTTTAAAAGTAAAAACGAATGTAATATTGTGTATAAGTGCACTGTGCGCCTACTTGATGATTCTGATGTCTTAGAGTGTGAATTTCAGGTGGGTTTTAAATGAACATAAATACGTGCTCAAGTGAATAAACGGCATTTTACATACGAAAAAGAAGTCTTGCCGCACCGATGTTTGTTGTAAATATATGCGTGTGTGTGTGTGTGTGTGTACGTGCGTGTGTGTGCGTGTGCGTGTTTGTAGATATGAGAATAAGGTGGAGTTCGTAAGGGCGTAACTTTCCTATAGCTATAAAAAAAACGCCAAACCCATTTGGAGCCAACACAAAAACTTAATAGCCTTTTTTATAAATTTAATCAAAATATTTGTCAAATATTTGTAAATGTGTCCTTCCAAATTCTAGCCATTCCATAAAGGCATTTACCTAGTCGACCATATATGTAGGCAATTAGATATTAAGGAAAAGGACTATTTTGGCTTACGTTATGTAGACACAGGCAAACAACGGGTAAATATATTAATTTTAAAAGACAGTCCTAGTTAAATATATGGTTTTTGGTTTTTAGCACTGGCTTGATTTGGCCAAATCCATATTGAAACAATGCAAAGGTAAATATTTGGAAATGATATTTGAAAACCAAACTGAAAATACATTTTTTTTTTCTGCACAGATATAGATCCTGTGCTGTTTTCCTTACGCGTCAAATTCTATCCAGCGGATCCATTTCGCCTTACCGGCAATGGACGCATCATGCTCTTCCAACAGCTGAAGAGAGATCTTCGTCACGGCCGGCTATACTGTTCCCTGGGCGAGGCAGCCGCTCTTGGGGCATTGATTGTGCAGGGTAAGGCCTCACTTTATGTATGAAAAAACATCGAAAATTATGAATTTATTTATATTTATAGAGGAACTTGGGGACTATGACGAAATGATGCATATCGGCGACTATGTGTCATCGCTGGATTTGGCTCTGCGCCAAACCGAGAATCTGGAAAAGAAGATCATTGATCTGCATAAAAAGCGAAAGCCCGGTCAGGATCCCTCCGTGGCAATGGATGAGTTTATGGGCATTGCCCGAGGCCTCGAAACGTACGGCATTGATCCCCATCCCGTCAAGGATCATCGCGGCTCCCTGCTGTACGTTGGCATCAATCATGCCGGCATCAGCACCTTCGTGGCCGGCAAGCGTTCCCAGCACTTTCGCTGGAATGAGGTGCACAAGATTAACTTCGAGGGCAAAATGTTTATTGCACATTTGAGCTTCACGGATGCCAGCCGAGAGCCCGTAAGTGCTTGCCCCAATCTGTACACTTCCATCTCAGCACATACACGTAAATGTTAATTGCAGAAAAAGCACACAATTGGCTTCAAGTGCCCCTCGGGACCCGCTTGCCGTTACCTGTGGAGGTGTGCGATCGAGCAAATGCTCTTCTTCACGTAAGTACAGGAGATATTTTTGGGCTCTTTCGTTTATGCGCATACATTCATTTTGCACAGCTTGCCAAATAGCCAGCATGCGGCTGTTGTTTCCGGCGGTGGCTTCTTCTCCTGGGGCACAAAGTTCCGTTATACCGGTAGAACTGAACGCGAGATTCTGACTGAAAGCATAAACGCATTACGCGAGCAAAAAATGACCAATTCAACGTCTAGCAAACGCAAGGCAAGCAGTGTGCCGGCCACGCCCTCCAGTCCACAGGGCGACTTGGCACAAATACGTGAGTAATATTGAAATCCTTAACTATATTTGAATTATGTCAAATTGCATTTGATTTACCAGGCTACAGCAGCTTGCCACGTTCAACAATGTCCGAGCCGTTGGGCTGTTCTATGGCACCGAGCATTCTCATCTATGGCGGCCATGGCCAGGACGTGGGCGTCAACGGCAGCCTGCAAATGCCCATCCTGGAGCCCGTTTGCGAGGAGGCGCGTCTGCGCTCCTCAAACATGGATAGACTTAATCATATGGGAACAGAACTATCCGGCTATGCATTCCGTGACTCCATTGAGCATTCGTCAACGGAAAGCGGACTTACGGCTAGTGGCTATGATGTGGCTGGGAAGCCGCGTGGCAATCACAACGACTCCAAGCAGCATCTTTATTATTCATCCAAACAGTACTATGCGCTGCCCAATCCCGCCTTAAATTCAAGCTCTTCCGTCGGTATCTCCAGCGGCAAACATATTGGCAAATACTCGCGCACACATTCAAATTCCAATGGCGGCAAGAGTTTGCGTAAATTTCATTTGTTGCACGCGTTTATACCATCCGTAATATTTGTTGTCATCGCAATGGCCGGCACTGCGGTCTTCATTATGGAATCGGAGCTGGAAATATTTGAACGTGTACGCAATTCTCCCGAAATGCTTAGTTTGCGTTATCAGTATTATCAGCCGCTAAAAGAATTTGTTATGGAAAAACTAGGCCGGAAAATGTAATTTTATTCAATTCCAAAGACTTCATATACGGATATGTGAGCTATAGTCATTTAAAGTTTTTAAAAAATGTTACAATTGCAATAACTCTGGCAAATAAATGTAAAAAATTTGATTCCAAACGTTTCTATAGATATTCCCAATCATTCATTCGAACGGAGATATGGAAGAGAGAGTTCTCCTTAAGCTCGGTAAGCTCGGTAATCAAGTAATTAGAGTCATCATAATTCACGTTTATAAAAACTGAACATTCTTTTAAAATCTCCTTCAGATATTACTCACTTTTTGAATTACACTATTCGATTTCTCTTTAAAAGTATCGATAAGACAGAAATCGATATTGTGCAGTCGCAATCAAAATACTTATTTACAGCGGTCACACGACAGTGTTGCCAACCATATTAGTGGCCCCCTTTTTTTTTACGGTAGGATGATAAAATCTGACAAGCAAACCATTAAGTTTGTTCCTTATCCAACACTTGCGACAAAGCTTATGTACGATCACACAGTGAAAAATTGCAAGCCGATATAATTGAACAGTGCGCATGCGCGGAGTCGGCAATGAAAATTACAGGTTTGTTTTCTTGTGCTCAACAAGTTAAACACTTGCAAACCCATTTATATATATTGTGCATACGTGTGTAACCGTTTCTTTTTTTAGCGATTGTTAGCTGACGTATAAGTGCAAACGCCATTTTATAATTATTAGATATATAAAGACAAATTGACATAAATGCAACATATAAAATGGCAAAATTAATATGCAACTAAAAGTGTTCGTCATAATACAAGAAACCATTTTTGCAATTGACAAAACTGTGTACATGCATTTGTAAGTATGTATGTATGTATGTAGGTGTGCGTGCGTGTCGTTTGTCCACAGCCATTTAACGGCTTACATATGTATGTATGCATATATACATATATTAATTATGGGTTTCAAGTGTGTATACTCCTTGTACCACTTGTAAAATATGCACATACAACCTGCAGACTCACATATGTGTACATCTGCAGCCATGCGTGCGTGTGTGTGTGTGTGTGTGCATGTGTGTGTGCGTTGTGCCTGTGTGAGGCGATTTCTAAAAGAGCATAAAACAGATGACTTAAGAAGCAAACTGGAATTGCCGATGATGAAATACCATCATGTTAATGTACTTTTACCAATGCGTAAAGTGTTCAATAAAAATGCATGTACACCGAACATAACTCAAGGAGAAAATCAAGAAAGTTCCAATTAAACGCACACAATTTTTTTGAAGCTCAACATTGGCATTTAATTGTTTCACTTTTATTATTTACTTTCAGTAACAGATTTATGAATAGCTCTGCTGATTTAGGATTGTCAATCCAAGTGTTTCGCTTTTACTTGTGATGATTTAAGCTGGAATCAATATAGATTCTCTAGCTCCAATCTTGTACAATATTCAACAAGTGGCAAGCATATAATGGTCTATCCCGAAGAACCTTTTTGGGCTTTGCCAATGGTATCCGGATTATACGAAGATAGAGATTATAGGGGTAAAAAGAAAACGTCATTTTTTAAATCTACCTTTTAATTTGATGTTTTGGAAATTTGCATTTTTTCTAGTTAATGTAGTGGAAGCTTTGCAGGAGTTTTGGCAAATGAAACAGACGCGCGGCGTCGAGTTGAAAAATGGAGCTCTTGTGATTTACGAATCGATTCCATCGAATAGCCAACCCTATGTTTGCTTCGTAACATTACCTGGCGGGAGTTGCTTTGGCAGTTTTCAGGTGGGATTTATTAAATACCATGTTATATATAATACTAATCGTTTGCCATTGACATTGCAGAATTGCCCAACTAAAGCGGAGGCCAGACGAAGTTCAGCTAAAATTGCCCTCATGAATTCGGTATTCAATGAACATCCATCTCGTCGCATAAGCGATGAGTTTATAGAAAAGGCTGTTCAGGATGCACGCGCCTCTTTCAAGGGAACACCACAAAATAATGAACTACCAGAATCAGGAATCGGCGCATTTAGGTAAGTAGCAGACCGTCTTTTTTTTATATATAACATAAGTCTAAACGTAACTCTGTATCTAGATTCATGCTTGAAGCAAATAAGGGGCGAACAATGTTGGAATTTCAAGAATTGATGACCGTCTTTCAACTACTACATTGGAATGGATCCTTAAAGGCAATGCGCGAGCGCCAGTGCTCCAGGCAGGAGGTGGTCGCACATTATTCAAACCGTAGTCTGGATGATGAGATGCGTGCCCAAATGGCACTCGACTGGATAGCACGTGAGCAGGAGAATCCAGGAGTGCTGCGAAGAGAACTGGTCTTGGCTGAACGCGAGCTAGAGACGGCACGCATGGCAGGACGAGAGCTGCGTTTTCCCAAGGAGAAAAAGGACATATTAATGATAGCACATAATCAACTGGGTGGCAGCAATTTGGGTGCAGCATCCATTGAAAACTGAAAACAAGTGAAAGGAGCTAATAATAAAGGGGATACAATAAGGTATATATGGAGAACAATCCGTTCTTAGTCTTGGCATCATTAAAGCATCATATCTCTATATATATACATACATTCAGCAAGTAATCTTCGCAAGAACCCGCATAACACAAACAACAGTTTATTTTATTGGCAAAACCACATGATCTCGAGTTCTGTTAAATCCGTTAAAGCTCATTTAAAACTAATTACCAGAAAAATGTGAGAATAATAATCAGTTACTGACAGCCCGACAAATTAATATTATGAAAAGATACAAATTATCATAAAAGATAAAGGAAACTCGTTTAAAAACTGACAAGTGCAAAATACTTTCGGAATGAAAAATTGTGATTTAAATACTGAATTTACGGAATTATTTTGAGACTTAACTTAAATAGTATAGTTAAATTTATTGTGTGTGTATATGCATGTGTATTTATATATCAAACATTGTCTCAGCGCCAAGCGCAACTCATTTGAGGCATATTACCATTTAGATAAATTTTTAACTAACTTCATCAATCCCTAATAAAATGTACTAATTTGGCAATTCAGTTATTTTATTTGTGAACTTTTGAACAAAATTATGTTAAACTAGTGCAAAAAATGAATTGTATTAATACATATGTCGATTGCCTAATAACGAAATAAAACCAAGAAAATATGTCTGTCTGCCTTTCTATATATGTGCACTTACGATCTTTTCTATAAAAAAATACTAAAAACTTTCAAGAGCAAGCAAAAAAGTCATATACTTTCATTCAGCAAACAATTAACAAAAATGCTGATGCATTTGCTTTTCAATCTCTTGCGATTTGGCGGGCATGCATCAATTTCTAGTTTCAAATGTATTACGAATGGTTTAATACAAAATACTGAATGTTTTGCATGTAAAAATACTGTTATGCTGTTGCGAAAAATACTGTTTTAATACCACACTACGAATGTGCAACAAAAAACAAAACCGAATTCTAGTTAGATTCCAATTAGATCCGGCGTAATCGCCATTTAACCGTTGCTATCTCCAGACACAGCGCCAGTAAAGCGAGTAATGCACCACCTTAAAACGCGGTCATGAATTAAATATTAAAAAAAGAAAAAAACAACAACAATTTCTTACATAGCAAGGTGAGAAATGCTGAGGAAACACCTGACATGGTCACCGGGTAGACGGTGTACAACGACTGACATGCTGGCTTTTTCATTTGACGCTGTCGAAGAATTCTCTCAACTAAACCAACTTCGCGTGCATTGCACATTCTAAATTGCAATGCAAATTAAATGAAATAATATATATCATTATAATTATGTACTTACGCTGTTTTGAAGAGCTCCGTATATTGACTATTTTTATGCACAATCCAATTCATAATCTCCACTTCCATAAGACCGGATACCTCGCGCAAATCGCAGATTTCATTAGCGTCAAACAATTCTGCTATTATCGGATAGGCGTCAACTACCTCGCAGTGAAATGCGAAACCGCCACTCTTGAGATATGGAATCGCTTCCTCTATGTGGCCGTACACACCCATTTCATTGGCACCTCTAGATGTGGACAATTTTTTGCTTATTAACCGGGTCACAACCGGGTTTGAACTTTCCTATTTTTGAAACATATTTTAAGAGGTGAACCTTTTTACTTGATTGTCTCGACTTACTCTAAATAAAACTTTATAGTATCCAATATCTTCAAATGATAGTTTGAGAGGGCTAGATGTTATTTCATCAACCGTAGCCGGACCTTGATCCGAAGAGCTGAGCAATCCACCAACGACAGATGACGTGTAATAGTTGTACATTACCACGGAGAATAGATAAACTGTTACCACAATAGAACGAGACGGTAAGTCCTTGGGAATAGGTTCCATTCCCTGTTGACAGACGGCACCAAAAGTATGTAGAATACGTTCTGTCCAGTTGCTTTGCGATTTGGGATCTGGACGTGTCATTATATTTTCAGCTGTCAAATTTGTGGCCTTCCGCCTCAGTCTAGCTACCCACAATATATTTCTTATATTCAAATTTCTTCGTTTCAACTGTTTCTCTGCTTTGGTATGCCATCTGTTGCTCAGGTACTCGAGGAGCAACCAAATGACGGTAATCCCTATTAAGGTGCCCAACGTGAAGAGCCACACCTGTCTGCTAAAGGGTGCTAAAAAATTACCGCTTTTTCCGTGTGTATCCAAGTCGGGCGTAAAGCGAAACAAAAACGCTGTCTCAAACTTCCAGCTCTGGTGTATAGTGTCGAACTCAGCAAAGCGATTTATACGATTGAATGCGCCGGAAGCTGCAATGTCTGCCTCGTTGCGCATAATTATGCCCAGCAATCCCAGTCGAAAAGTTGTGTTGCCCAATCTACCAGCCCAACCCCGGGAGTTGCGAAACTTGACGGTAAAATTAAAACGATCTCTGAGCAGGCATAACAGCTCGTAATGATACTTGATGAATGCTGCTACACCAGGATCCTTTGTGGGTCGTGAGAGTACTGCTTCAATTTGTTCATTTGTCAGTATATTCTCTTGATCAATCTAAAAAATTTAATAAACGGTTTGTATAAGTTGAAATTAAATTTTATTTTACACAGCATTTTTGCTTACCACACTTGCACCCCTTAAAGTCAATCCATTGAATTGACTGCGATATTTTATGCTTTGCAGCTCGAATACGTCTTTAATTATAAACAATTGTTTTTTATCATTTGATAGTTTTGCTATCAAATGTATTTCCAAGGCTGATTTCAGTTGACGGCCCTTTGAATGTATGTCCCAAAGATAATAGGCATCCGTTGTCTTATTGACATAGGTCATTTGCGCATTCGGTCCAACGTAATCTAGCTCGAGTGGGAGCAACTCGTCAATACTTCTATCTATGCCCAACAGCAGCCACTGATATGTTTTGTTGAAGTATCTATTGGCAGAAGCCTCCTTGAGCAGCCTAGATGAACCTTCGCAATTGGTGTCCACAATCACAGTCGTTCGAGCATAATTTTTTCTTGTTAAAATTGATTTAAGCAAATATGAGCTATTTATGTGGACCGGTTGAACAAATTGATTGGATTCCATGAGTGCTAGAGCATTCGAATAAAGATCTAAAAATGAAAATATTATGCTAAATTAATAATTGAAAATTTGTCAATACAAAAGTAAATTGCATACCTTCTTCAGAACAGGCAAATATAATGCTTTCCCTAGTTTTAACCAATCGCGTCGTGAACTCCGTTAAAACAGAAGTTTCCATTGGGGAACTTTGTCCCAAAAACACACATGCTAAGGTTAACACTAAAGCCAGCACGCTCAAACACATTGCATATAGTTATCTTTGTAATCTGTGATATTTAAGCAAACACGCTTTCTTTTATAGCTTAGTGCACTAGTTGGTTGATTGACAGCTCAAATTGAAGCAAGCACTTACAAATGCAAATTGAAAAATATACGCGTAATTGTGCGTAAGGAGCCAATTAAATTATCAATCAAACAAAATCTGCAGAAATACATTTTTAGTTACAGTTAAAGGATCCGGCTCAATTCTATATGCTATTAAATTAGATTAATAGTTTTTTAAGGTATTCTATACTTATCATTATAGTGACTGCTATTATTTACAATTGGCTTTCTTTTGCATTTAAAATTTTATTCAAGCAATCACTATACCACTTGCAACTGTATTTGCTTTTGCATTAACGAGTCAATGGGATTTTCATAACGAATCAGCTTATTTAGCAAAAATGTACCATCCTGATGGTAATCGGCATCTACAACAAAGACTTCCACAACTTTTGTCATTAGGAACTGCTCGTTTTTCAGTGTGTCTACTATAAGTAATGGGGATACCTTAATAAGCCCCAATTTAGATGGACAAATGGTTAGTGGAAATTCTGCAAACTGGCCCGGCTGCAATACATCCAATACAAAATTAGCCGAGCCAGTATAGGGACAGTCGGCAAACGCTTTAGTTTCGAGAGTTATATGCAGCTTCATGGCGTGCTCGGCTGTATTGGTTACCCTGCATTGGAAGGTAAATATGGTGCCGATTTTGACAATATTCTCGGCATCGATTACTTCTAAGCGTAGGTCCTTGTATTCAAAGGGCTGAAAGTGATTAAAAACCTATATAAATCTAATTTGTATGGATACATTTTTCTGAGTACCTACCAATCTCTGCAATTGGCTTGTCTGCAATCTGCCTTTCTCCCCGAAATTCGATCTCCAAACAATGTCCAGCTTACCCACATTATTTGCTTCGCGAAGTGTTTTGATGTGCTTCGCAACTTCGGGTTTTGGCTGGAATTTTAAAAATAATTAATCTTTTGATTAAGAGTTTATGCGACCATTGGATCCACCTTTATGCAGTACAGAAATTGACAGCTGTTATTTGGCTGCAGCATATTTTTGGACGTGAATACCGACTCTCCGTTGGGTAGAGTATTCAAGGAAGTCACAGTGTATTGCTCGGAACTGTCCAATTCAACTTTTTCCAGACAAAATGGCCCGGTGGTCACGTTTTGAATTTGCGCCTCTAGATATATTTCATCCATTTCGGCATTATAAAACTTAGTTTTCACATCCAGTGGCTTAAGCACTTGGAATTTGAAGAACTTTCTTAGCGATTGTGCGAAGCCAGCGGGACTAGTATAATTCACCTCACACACCAATCTAATAGATTTTTTCAGTTAATTATTGATAATATTGATTGAAATAGGCAAATGTTACGCACATATGAGTTCCAATCTCCTTTACTTCATATCGAATGACATCATCGAGCGTCTCATCGGCTGTTAGGACCACTGAAGATTTCTTGTTTTCATGCATTAGCAAATTTATTCGCGACGTGTTTGACTGCAGATCGACCTTTACAGAAACGCCTTCAACGGGATGAGACGTGCAATTGTGTACACAAATGTAGCTGGAAAATGTTTCGCCTAGATATATATTTCCAAATGATTGGGGTAGCAGCATAGTTTGGCCAGCTCCAAGGGCTTCGGCACAAGTTCTCGCTATGCCATCGAACTCAACCAGTCGGTTAAAACTCTGTGGCAAATCCTTCGGCTCACAGGTAACAATTGGCCCCAGTCCTACTAACGTGGGACGGGTCAGTCGCATAACTGTAATAATACTCTTGAATCAAAGAATTCTGTAGACTGCAGACTGCAGGTTTGCCTACCCTTTAAAGCCAATAAATGAGTTTCCGTGTCAGCAGCATTCATTTTGTTCAAGTATCAGGTGAAACGCATATAAAATAAAACACAAATATCTAAGTTATCGATGGTTGTTTATTAGTGATGACAGCAAGGTGACGATATATATCGTTAATATCATAAAAACCTCGACGATTATTATCTTGAATCCCTTCATTATTATTTAAACGAATTCCAATTATCGGCTTACTACATGCATTTTCATTAAATAAGTAGCTTAAGTTTAATTTACATATATTACGGCAAACAAATTCAACCACCCTCTAGCTCTCCAGCGAAACCATGTCACGACTAATAAAGAACGCAGAGACCAGCGCTGCGGTTTGGGCAGTCTCAGTGCAGCCTTTTGTTAATCTTTCTTCGACCTGTGCCATCTTGACAATTAATTTATTCATTACCGACATGGGCAATTCAACTGTAGGCAAAGGGCAACAATGAATTATACAAAGAAAAGAAGACTGTAACTTATACTCACGTCTCATAATAAACAAATGCAGTTCAGTGACAATGTCCTCCAGGGCAAGTCCGCGCTTACTCTTGGCTTCCTCAATAGCTGATTAAAAATGAATTTGTAAGACTAAGGTGCATTCTTTTCCCATGAGCTGAGTACTTACTATCAAATGCTGAATCAAAGGTCGCTGCCGAGAGCAATGTTTGCAGCATATGTTCAATTTCACTTCTAAGCGGATAACCCACACACATATAAACATTATCCTCGTTGACTATGTCAAAAGCCATGGAGGTACTCTGCAGCACATTTAACACCTTTCGCATATCACCTTTGGCCAGCGTCAGTAATGCGTTCTTGCCATCATCCGTAACGTTGACACTTAAAAGGCAAACAGTACAAATGTTAAGCTTAAGACGACACTAATTTAAAATTTGCATTGACAACTTACTTTTCCTCCTGTATAACCTTATTAAGACGCGGCAGCATCTGCTCGGGTGAGAGCGGTGCGAACCGGAAGCGTGTGCAACGCGATTGTAGAGCCGGTATTATTTTGCTCAGGTAATTGCAAATGACGCAAAAGCGAACATTTTCGGTGTATTTCTCAATGATGCGGCGCAGTGCATTCTGCGCGTCGTTGGTCATGGCATCTGCCTCATCCAGAATGATTAGCTTAAACGTGCCACAGAAAATGGTGCGTGTCGAGGCAAAGTTAAGTATCTGGCCGCGAACGATGCCAATGCCACGATCGTCGGAAGCATTTAACTCCAATACCATAGACTTAAAGTGTGCCGGCGAGTAGAGTTGACGTGCACAGGCAAGGATGGTACTCGTCTTGCCCGTGCCAGGTGGCCCATAAAAGAGCAAGTGAGGCAGCTGCTTCTGATTAATGAAACGATTGACTAAAATGTATAAAAAATGTGAGCTGCACAATTCGGTCTGCCACAATTAAAGCATGCACTTACTAGTCGATATTATTTCCTCATGGGATATCAAGTCATCCAAGCAGTTGGGACGATATTTTTCAACCCATGGCATACGCGCGACCGCACCATTGCTTTCGGACATCTTAATTGTACTTTCCACTAAATTGTATACTGGAAAAATATTTACGCATTCGCGCCGTTTTCTAAGCGACCGAGTCCTATCGAAAAATATATCGATAACTCGCGTGTTAAGTCATCGTTTCCACTTTGACTTTGAAAGCGATGTTCTTACGATGTTTTCGACATCTTCTTTACTGTTCTAGAAACTAATTAAAAACGTTTCAATGATTTGTTTTAATTTATTCCAATTAGCTTTTGTAGCATTATTTTATTTGATGTCATCAATATATGATGTTTTCAACCGAACATATTTAATAAATAGAGAGAAATACTTCTTGACCTTTTATATTTAACTGCTTCTAACAGCTATTTAATTACAATATATATATATTTTTTGTGTTGTTTATGTTTATAATTACAAAAAACAACAAATTAATAATCTAAAGACCATTCATTGTCGGCAATAAATGAGTCAACTACCTCCTTCATTGAAAAGTTTGGTATTAACTGGTCTTGCGTGAGTTTGACTCGTGTAACAGGATCAAAATGGCCAACACGCTGCAAATGCTCCTCAATGTCCTTCCGCTCATAGGTGATACCAGATGGGGTGATCACAGGGTCTGTTAAAATCTCGAAACTTATTTTTCCGCATAGGAAATCCGGCACATCACGTTTCTGTAAATCAAATTTGATGCATATAAATATAGTTTGCACTTATAACTTAACTCCATAACTTACCCTTCGGCGTTCATCCACTTTTGCGAATATGTTGTTAAGCTCTTGGATGTGATCATCCTATAGAAAAAATTTATATAAATAACAAAGAGGCGTCAAATTACACTGTTTACGAATTCTTAACTCAATAGCGTGGTCCAATTTAGAATACACAATATTATAGAATTCATTGATTATTGATTCATTATTATTGAACACGCGTATAGAAATATTGATATTTCAATTGAGCTTAGTTATGCGAGCTCCTCTCGTAAACTTACACATTCTTGTTCAATTTCCTGCTGTTTATCTTTTAGGTGTTCCTCATTCAAGTTTTCATTCAACTTGAGACTGGCAAGACGGTTTTCCATATCATCTTTGATCAAGCTGACAATACATAAAGAAATAAAGATCAAATTTTGAGCAATTTTCAAGTGAGACTTGAGTAGGTGTATGCGATTACCGATTCAAATAACTCTGCAGCTCTATTTCTTGGTGTATTCGTTTTTCCTCTAGAACGTTCCAACGCTTTTTGCGTGCCAGTCTCAACTGCAGTGTTATATCATCTCCGAAGTTCTGTTTTTGCTCCTTTGACAAATCATAGGCTTAAAATAAAGGACCATTAGAGCTCCAAGGGGATTTCCAACAATAAACATGTCTACCTCGTTGAAGATGCTTTATTGCTTCATCATAATTATCTATCTCCATAAGGCCCTGTCCCAAGAAAAAATGTCCTTTTAGCAAATTTCCATCTATATCCAAAGCTCGCCGGCAATCCTGACAGCATAGCTCCCAACGCTTCAGCTTCAGATTGCAAAGGGCACGGTTTGTAAAATAGGTTGCATTTGTGGGATTTTTAATCTATATAAATGTAATACATATGATTCACATATAAGTTTCAAGTTTAAAAATCACTTACAATGG